TGATAGCAACTTATTCTATTCTTCTAGCTGCAAACCACAAGCAGCTTTTGATGGTATGGAAAATCGTTTAATTTCATAAGTATTGAGTAAATCAAACTACTGGTCAATAATTGCAATAAAAGTTCCTGTAATTGTATCCTGGGCCAGTTCTCAGTTTGAAAAATTTTCACATTTGCAGTTTTATGCGAGAGCAATTGTGCCGCAAACCGGACATTCTGTCTTTTCTGCAACTTATATAAATATCACACAAATTGTGACATACCTTGACTTCAGCAGAATCTGTGTTAAGATGTGCTTTGTTGATAATGTCGCCGTTATTAAGAATAAAGCTTTTATCTATAAGCCAGTTACGAATTAATTTGAGCAAGTGCGGAAGGAACGTCGCCGAACATATAAACCTTACCATCACGTTGTATGATCTTGATGCGGCAATATCTGTCATCATTGAGTACCCCCACTCAATGGATCAATCAATTCTCCAGTTTGGTGTTTGCACTACTTCGAAAATGAGCCTTGTTAAAGCCTTTCTTTGATGCCATGGACTGTTTGTTCTATCTGAATGAATATTCGATACTCTTCATCTGTCCATCTAATCTTTCTCCGGTCATCTACTTCTATTGTCCAAAAGTCGTAAGAGGCTTGCGTTAATCTTACCATATTCTGGCCTATAACAGCGAGTGGAAACGGTGGTCCCACAAACTATTTCCACTCAAGCCCAGAAAGCGCATTACGTGCTTGCGCTATATTGTGCACATCTTCATTCATTGGTACTCCTGCTCTCAACAAGATTAGCAAAATAATAGCTCCCGGGGTGCAAAGTAATCGCGTATGTTATACTGCCCCCCACCAAAGGATAAAAATAATTGCTGCTAGGTTATTATTTTTTAATTGGGCTGTCACTAATAACTATTGATATAAACTAATAATGACTTATCAAAGTATGAAGAGATACTCGCCGCAATTTAAGTGCACTAAGTTTTTATCTTAAAATGCAATTAAATAAATGACTAAAATTTATTTTTACTTTTATTTATTGGTAGGATAAAATTTTCTGAATTATTAAATTGTTTATGTCCAACGATACTAACTCATAAACAAATGGATCGTAATACTATAATCTAACTTAAAATAATGAATTGAGAAAAAGGCGAATGGATCCGAATGTATAGACGGCCGATACCCCAAACCTACCACCGAACTAACTCTCGCCAAGTGGGTAACTAAGTTGTTGGGTGTTCGCTCACAGGATCAATTTCCGCAAATTCTAGGCTCTAGGAAAACCTCATGAATGACCCCGGCTATAAACTACATAGCCACGACTATGAGAATCGGCAGCAGATCGAAAGCCGCTGCCCCCTGCACAAACGTATCGCAAAGAATGAGAAGAAGTAAAAGAGAAAAATCCTTGTAAGAAGTTGAGAGTGATTAAATCACCTCTCAAGATGTAGGATAACACCCCGACACCATATATAGCCGGTGATCCGCTAAAAGTTGATGTTAACCCAAAAAACAAAAATCCGTTATGAGGGTACTCTACATCCAACACGATGGTACATCCCGCAGACCGATAACTAAATCTTCAAAATGCACACAGTAGTGAGCTTCACCATAGCGTTGCAAAGCCTCGACTTTAATAACCGGCAAAACTCACGCCCCATGATACGCCTCTCGGATCGAGCCTTATCTTTTAAGGTAACCACTCCGCGACCGAATCATCCCTGCAAAACGTAAGCCTCTCAGCTCTATCTAACCGTAGTACCTACGACATAACCGTAACCTAAAAACTAAATGCTTCAACTATTTAAGGATGGTTGAGGTCGCGCTAACTCAAACATCCATTCACCATCAGAGGTAAGTGAACCAAATATCCTTAACTTTAGAATACTAATAATTTAAGTATCTATGTAAGTTGCTTTACGCAATGAACTCGAAATAATTGTTATTCTCCAAATGTGGATGAACGTAAACTAAAAAAAATTTCTCAGTGTATTACTAGTAAATGCATGCAAAGTCGCATGATAACTATACCTACATACAAGGTGATTCACAACTTATTCAAAAAAATTTGGGAATAGATGCGGCATGAGAAATGGAGTCAATATCGTAAAAATTTTTTTGTAAAATCCTTATAGTTTCCGAGAAAAAAAATTATTGTAGTTATAGTACATTCAACCACTACATAGCTGGACAACTGTAGTCTCTAGCGTCATTCGCAATACGCGAGGAGAACCACGTGGCCTCAGCGACTCCGAATACTGAAATCCGCTTTTGCAATCGTCACTGCGAGAGTGTTTACCTGTTATATGTGGTGTTTACAATAGTTTTTTAGTAGTTAGTGCCAAAAATGGTTTGTGTGTATAGCAACTCGGAGTTGATGGATATCGTTTTAATTTATGGTGAAGCAAGACAACATTTGTGTTAGTTCGTAGAAACTGAGTAAGACGGACCCAAATGTGTTTACACGTTGGTGGATAACATCTTGAACAATTGTTGTTGTAACATCGGGTATGTCAAATGATTATATTATTTAAAAACACAAAATTTTATTAATTAATAAAGGCAAAAGCAGTTGAATTTGCCGATATATATTCTATTTACATATTTCTTTCTCTGCGAAAGTTTTTGTCCGTTTTTATCACACCGCCATGCCGGTCGCATTGTGTGAGGTCAGATTTTACAGTGGACCAGTTTCCAGTGCCGTGCAGAAGTGTATTTTTAAATCATTTTCGAACTGCCCTTTTTGATTTTTTCTTTACAGAATTGTATTTGTAAGGGTCCCCTGTACATCCAGATTTTTTTTGGGTAATTTCTGAATCACCCTGTATACAGCTTATCTTAAGAGTACTATATACAGAGTCTTACTAATACAAATACTACTAGCTTACCTAATATCTAAATCTTAATTTTTTCTTAATCTAACTTTTGGCCAATACTTTTACTAACTACATTTCTTTATAACTATCTGTACAAAATTTTATTCCATCTACCAAAAATCTATCTAGGAATAATTTTGCGGTAGCACTTTCACTTCAAAAAAACTACTTAAATTCAAACTCTCAACTATTAGTGATGGTCAAATAATACCAAATATCTCATAAATCCAGAGTGAGCTAAATATTTTTCCGAAAATCACTAATATACCAAACTTTAACCAAAAGGATATACAGTATGTACTGTATAGTTTTTTATATTATTTTACATATCATAGACATTAACATGTTCGCGTAAAATAATTTTTCCAAGTCCAAAAATTCAAAAATTAAAAAAATCTAGAATACATGTTGAATATCTTTGTAAATACTATATGTCTAAGTACATGTATTTTGTCAATTGGTTGTTAATCAGACATAGGATCTCCTAGATATGGTTTCAAGTCACTAATGTGATATACCCCTATACAAGGATGGCCAGAAGTACGGAATAAAATTCATATCTTTTGAATGAGTTAATTTTTTTTAAAACACCGAAACACGTTAACTGATTTTGATTTTTCCCATCTTTCGGTTATATAATAATTAATTTTTCTTCAACCCCTTAACCCCCAGCTACTCCTACCTTTTTTTTCAAATGGAAACATAAGGCATGAAGGGGCTCGTTGAAAAGCTTATAGAAAACCGAATCCAGCCATACCAAATAAACACGTTTTATTTTTTCAATAACGAGTTTTTTTCATTTAGAAATTAAAACAACTAGATAATTTATAAAAATAAACTCAATGTCGCAAATGCTGAAAATGTCCTCCATTCACTATTCTCTTGGCATTCTCTAAGACGATAGTAAAAGCTGTCCACAGCATTCTGAATGCTCAAAAACTCAAAGTTTCTCCTCCGGAGATTATACTGGTGACAGTTTCTGCGATATGCCTCATCTAATTTTTTCTTTACTTCCAGGTAAACTTCTGGTAAATTTTCAAGTTCTTGAGCATAACCTTCTCTATCCCCTTGATCTATATCATATTATAAATCGACCGCGTTTCCATAATATTTTACTGTAACTGGAACTTTTCTCTCGAAAGTCAAATAAGCTGGACTATAACCAGTGATTTATTGTATGTTTTTGTCCCAATCGCGATGTTTGGATTTTATATAACTACGAATCGCTGTTCCGATTACTCTATTCGCTCTTTCCGTGGGGTTCGACTGAGGGTGATATGTGGTATTTTCCATGTAAAATGATATAACTACATATTTTGCCACAAGACGTCTTTTATGATCTTTAATTTTTTTCTTCCGATTTGCGGTTACTTAAACGAGAAAATAAGAATTCCATATTGGCTACAAAAATTACAACGCTTTCGTTTTTTCCCTGACCGTTTTTTAATTTGTTCAAAGAGATCATCGTTATAGTTCGGTACTAAAAAGTGTTCTTTCAATCGATCAACAATATCAAACTAGGATTTAAATTCTGTTTTTCTAGAGTTGTGCCACACTTTTATGTCACCTCAAAATGAGTCTCCTGCAGAATTAAATTATTCTATCTTATTGATGATTCGAGTTGTAGAAAGCTCTTCTACTTGCTCTAGAAATTATAATAACGATATATTTTTTCCATCTAAAAAAATTTTTCATTTAAATACTGGTACTGACTTGCAAGTACTTGGGATATTAGAAATGTAGACGTTCGCTAAATTTTGACTTATATCAGGCTTAAAAGACACTTTCTAGCTGATGATTGCTTCTATCTCAATACACCGGGCATAATACTCATTTTTAAATTTGTTATACAAAACACTCGTAGGTTCCGGATCTCTCGAAACTTTAAATCTTTTAACTCTCTTTATGAGAGAAAAAGCCTATTATGTATCGTTTTATACCTAACATCCTGTATTGAACCAGAAAAATCATTGAGTAGACCTTCTAATTATACTACTGTGTTCTCAATAAGATTATTTTTATATTTTCTATAACTCTGAGTATGTACTCCCAGCTGAAACTGAAAATAATCCTGTTCATCAAATTTGTCCAAATGAGGCTTAAGATGAGTAAAAATGACGTTTTGCTTCATGGTTTATCTGCTTCCAGAGCTCTTAACATTTTCATTTTGATTTCATCGGATTTTTTATGTTTTTTGGTTCTTGTCTGACGTACGCTTTTGGGTGGGAGTTGTGTGGATGGTGTATCAAATGACTGAGAAGCATTCTCAATATTTTCAGTGGAGCCCTGCGTTTCTGTATCTTCTTCCAGCCCTGCAGCACTATCCGACTGAAAACTACCCTCTCGAGCATCATACAGTTTTTTTAGAAACTGCAATAATTGATCAAAATATACATGGTCTTTACATTTATTTCTTTGCTGCTGAACCACTTAGAATTTTTATGTTTGACTTGACAAAGGAGTCTCGTAGATTGATCCGCCTTCGTATTACTTCTTTACCTAAAACAAAACGAAAACATTAAAAAACTGTATAAAAAAAAGTTTCACAGGAAACTAATGTTAACTAATGTTATTGTTTTTATTTTCAGGTATCTGGCAAGTCGTTGTTCTTTCATTGACTTACATTTCCAGTACAGAATAGGATTTCTACAGCGAGTAAAGTAATTAATGATATATGCACAGCCATTTGGTCGTCAATGCGAGAATAATGTATACCAAGACCCACAACAGAGATATGGGAATCAATTGCGTCTACATTTGAAAGTACTGCCCATTTCCCCCACTGCTTAGAATCATTGGATGGAAAACATATTCGTCTTATTTCTCCATTTAATAAGGGATCAATATATTTTAATTTTAAAGAACACTTTTCTGTTGATCTATTGGCTGTAGCGGATTCCAACCACATGTTTATCTATGTCGACATAGGAAGTTATGGCAAATACTGTGACTCATCAGTTATCAAACGGTCCAGGTTATGGAAGTCAACAGAAAGTAATTCTCAGCAATTGCCAGACTGCTTTTAGTGCTTTTAGCCATATGTGATGCCAATTGTTGCTTTATATATAGAGATGTAGGCGCATTTGGCAAATTCTCGGATTCTACTGTATTTGTTAATAGTACATTTTGGAAAGTTTCCAAATAAAATGATAAATAATTCCGAGGACGATGAGACATTTCGTCTTACTCCTCAACTACTTCGTCCATATGCCACAAAAAATTTAATTTTAATTTACGATTTAATTTATTGTTCTGAAACCGGTCGAGATGTGCAAATTAAATTTGGTGGGTTTTAAGAGGTAGTTATTGAGCATTTTTTGACACACAATTAAGAATTTTATGTTCATCATTGGCGCGCGTACGGGTAATAATCTCAATTTTTTTAAAGAAAAAAATGGTACGCCAGTGAGATATTACAAATTAAAAATTTTTGAATTCCTCATTCAATTTGTGACAAAAAATCTCTCTTGCCTTTTCTTCGTATGGGGCGCCGTTTTGATGCAAAAAAAATAAAACATCTTAACGCGTATTTTTTATTTCTTTAATACAGTACCTAGTAGGCTGCTGTCAACATTTGTCTGTTAAATACGAATATTTTTAAGAAATGTCAAATTAGCGTTTCGTCATTATTAATTTATTAAGCTTTTAGTTTGCTATAACATTAATGTTAATAAGTAATTAATTTTTCTTTTATCGAAAAGAATGGAAAATTTTACAAATGTGGAATTGTCAGACATGCATTTTGTCTATGGTCGAAGTAATGGAAATGGTCGGCAAGCTCGACGATTGTATGCTGAGTTGTATCCAGGACGTAGGGTACCTAATCACACAATATTTGCTCGTCTTCATCAACGTTTGCGCGAAAAATGGTTCATTTAAGAAACAAACGGTTGACTGTGGGTGCCCTCGAGACGTACGAACTGTGCAACTAGAAGAAGCAGTTCTCGAATTAATTGCGGAGTCACCTGAAACAAGTACTCGAAAAATTGCCAACATATTGAATGTAAGCAACTTCACTGTATTTAAAATTTTTAAAGAACAGCAATTGTATCCGTTTCATATTGAACGTGTGCAAGCTCTACTACCTAGAGACTTTTTTCCGCGCCTATTGTTTTGCCAATGGATTAATCATCAAATCGCCCAAATTCCTAATTTTTTAAATGCCGTTTTGTTTACTGACGAGGCTACTTTTGGACGACAGTGTATACGAAATTTCCATAACAATCACTTATGGACTGAGGAAAACCCCCATGTAATCTTTGAAGCTCAATTTCAGCATCAGTTTTCCGTAAATGTATGGCTTAGGGTAATTGATGATCATTTAATCGGTTCATATTTTCTCCCACAACGACTAACAGGCGAATCTTATCTTAATTTCCTACAGGAAGAGTTACCTGTTCTCCTACGTGTATGTGGGTGCATGCGTGCGTGCGCGGGTACGTGTGTGCGCGTGTGCGCGTGTGCGCGTGTGGGCGTGTGTGTGTGGGTGTGTGTGTGTGATCCACTCATTATTTGTGGAAGGGCGAAATGGGCGGTGACTATTAGACGCCTTCATTATAGCCATCTTTTTCTATCGCACGGATTTCTAACCATGGGGACTTTCCGACCCTGTAAATGCACAAATAAGAAAAAAACACATTTAAATTTTAGTCCTCCTCTTCATCACTGTCAGAAACGACATCCGTTGTATGTTGATCTGTGATCAAGTTTCTGTAAAAACCTCTTAGGGTGTCTGATATGTAAGGCAGCAAGTCCAGGATATGCTGCTTTTTTCAACAGAATTTGGTACTGGTCCTTTGTACGACTTTGCTGGTTTTAAAATTTGTTCCTGTTTCCCTCTTCTTGCGAAATCCACCTTCTTAAACTGTTCATTCTCATCGAATTTTGTTTTGAATAAAAAATAATGATTACCCTTTCCATATCTTAGCCATCTGAAATCCCTCCAATTGATTTTATTTCCATCTGTCAGTCTTACGATTTATTAAAGTTCCATTCAATAGACCAGAAAAGTTATAAAAATTGTCTCTTTCCAATTCTTTTATTATAAACGGTCTTTTTTTCCTGTTTGACGTATCAAATTTGCCCAGTCATGAGGAGGCTAGACTTGTCCATTAAATGTCTTTTTTTGTTTTTCAATTAACCTGTGGTCGGTGTCACATTCCATGTGATTATGTCCCGAATTCAGCAACTTGTGGTCAATAACTTGTAAATATTTTGAATCTTGCAAAGCAACCATGCACACCGCGGCTATTTTTATTTTGGCCGCCACAACAATCGGAATACATTGTTACATGTGTAACATTTCCGTCCAAATCCTTTGTTAGAAATTCGTAGAGACATGAACCGATTTCATTACCTCCTCGTTTGGCCATAGCTGCGTGCCAGATATAGCAGTATACTTGGCTAGTGTCGCAAACATGAATTGTTAAGTCAAATGTCCATAGTTGTCGTTTATAAAATGCAACCAAGTTTTTGATATCAGGTGTAGGTAGACACTGTTGAAGGTCGAAAGTTAAAGTGATCTTGCTTGGATCACTTTTTGATAATTCTTTGTCTGCAGATTTAGATGTGTAACCGAGATCAGCTTCAAGATGATGTTTAGTCAATTCTTCTTGTAACGAAGTTTTATCTTCTGTCGTTTGTATTTGCATTGTTAATTTGTCACATGTAGAGCACGTATCTTTTCTTGTTTCTTTTTTGTGCTTATATTCAGTTCGTGAAATATTTTTTCATATATCTTGCTATTTACTGGTTTCTGAGAATATACAACTTTATAGGCATTGTAGAGAGATGCTAGGGTGTAGTGAGAGGGTAGATATTTTTTGCTGGAACCCCTGCTAGTGTAATGACTTTCATATGACGGTATAGAAAGGATGTGATTACGAACATTCTCAATATCTTCATCACGTGTTTTCATTTTATTACTGTGATTATCTCTTTGATCCAAAGTTATTATACCGGAAATAACAGCCCGTTTTTTGTTTCAAATTTTCACAGTTTCAATAAACTTATTGCTGATGTCAAATATCTTAACAAAACAACTTTTACAAACTCTCAAATTGGAACCATGAGCTTGTAAGTAGTACAACAAAGTTGATTGACGATATCTTTGCTTCTCCGCATCGTTACAGCGAATACGCAAAAATTCTTGACCTATTTGGAAAGTTTTTTTTCTTATCAACGGCAGCTACTTTAACGCCGGTGCGCTGTAGTGTTTGAAGATTATTTTTTTTTATTGGTTTATAAAAGTCAGGACTACCTACTACTTCTAAAAATTTTCTTAAAACTTATTCGCCAATGTCATTTACATTTAATAAAAAAGTTTGGACAATATTAGATGCATTACTTTAGTTGAAATAACTAAAAGGCGTTCATCGCTTTTGGAAAACACTTTTCATTCATTTCTTGCCACATTAAACGTTTTGGCTAGATATATTAATTTGCCTGGATAAATATCAACATTGTAACTTAAAAACCATTCATCCAACTTACTACTATTTTTAATTAATCCGACTATGTCTCCTACATCTTTTAAATTTTTATTTGTATGTTCCAGTGCTTGATCTACAGAAAGTTGATTAAAATTTCCACTTCGTCTTTTTACAACAAAATTTCCATCCATAAACTTCATAAATTTTTGGTGCTGTTTCGCGTTAATTTAAATGTAGTCCCAATTACCACTTCTTTCAGCAAACTGGAATTCTAGCAAAATTTCTACCAAATCTAAGTACCTAAACCAGTATTTAGTGGTAGCTGTTTGTGTCTCCATAAACTCCTGAAAGTCAGTAAATAATTCGTATGTTAAATTCGTAAATTCGTATGTTATTTCTAAAAAACTTGGCAACGCATCTCTTTCAGTCTTCAAATGGTCGCCAATTTCTGATATACAAAGATAAATTAGATTTAATGACGGACTCTTGCAGTCAATAAGCCATGTGGTAAAAAGGGGGGTAGTATTCTCATGAGACTTTCGTAGGTTAATTTATGTGCTCGTATCGCTTTGTTATATTTTTTTCAATCCAAACATCAGCTAGACCCAAATTTGACATAAACTGTCCATAAATAAATAAATAAACATAAATAAACATAAATCGTCCTAGGCGGAATATTACGTCTTTTGTGTCCTCTGGACTATGTCATTGCAACTCTTTCACTTTATAATAAATTGTTTGGTCAAATGTTATAACTGTATGAGTATTATTTAGTTTTTCTGCAATTTGATGACACCTTATGATTACTGTCCAAACTGTATCATATTCTGAGGAAACGTGTGGCAATAAAGATAGATATCCATAAGTCGTTACATTGGAATCATTTTTAAAAATTAATTTATGAAATCCTGACCACTGAGGAATAACCATTTCTTTATTCTCAGAATCATTCGTCCTAGAAATACACCAAGAAATGGTTTGGTATTTTTGTTTGTAGCTTAGATTTTCGTTTTCCATAATAATTGACTGGTTGTCTTCACTTTGCACCTTTTTCTTACTTTTATGAAACCCAGCCTTCTCCAGTGAATAAAAATTATGAGGAATATTTAGTTTTACCTGATGTGGCAAAAATTCGAAATTTCCGGGTATGACTCTTTGAAATGCAGCCATTTGTGATCCCATGAAATGTGGGTGCTTTATCTAAAGTTTCTTCATGGATGTCAATATTATCAGCAGCAAATTCGACAAATCTATTAGGAACTAGTTGCCTGGGAACTGTAACTCTGTCATTTTGCAAATAGAGGTTTATTTTTTTTGAGCAATGCTGTTACGTACCCTTAACGGTATCAGTGTGCGAGATAGAGTGACTGCAAGTGTTTAATGTTTCAACAAGTTTTTTTGACCTTATTTCCTGATGAACTAATAATCCCAGACCAATATGTTCGGGTGTATATTTTTTTTCCATCGAAGTTTGCAAAAATAATGTCTAGACAAATATTAAGCACATTTGTTTCTTTCGTATCACCGCTAGAACCGTTGCACACAAGAAGACTAATAAGAAAATACAAATTTTGTGGAATATGCTTTTTGTAATCGCTAATTTTTAAGTTTTTGAAATCTGCATTTTTTGGTATGTTATTTTGTCAAATTTTAGTTACAGTTTGTATTTCAGATGTACCAAAAGATATTTTTGATGATTGGGTTTCAGTGTAATGTATTGTACATAAGCAATTTCTGCTTCAGTCGCGTTTCTCATACACTAAAAAAGTGAAATTTTAAATTGAGACATCTACAAATTCATGCAAATTTCAGCAAATGCACCTATCAGTAAAAAATATGTATTAATGATCATTACCTAAAATCAATTTGAAGATGTTTTTAAATATTTGAAAGCTCCAACGCTTAAAAATAATGCTCACTAGAATAGAGATTTCCACAATATTATTTTTATAGCATAATAAACATAAGGTGTAGCAAAAATCATGCTAATTTGTTCAAATTTCAAAGAAAATGTTTTTATGGATATTCAAAAGATATCAAATAATATAAGCTTTGTTCTTATAGCAGCCGTGGATGAATCGGAAACTGTCCAAAATAGTCGATCAGTTATGTTGTCACTATAGTGACTCGTGAATGTCACATAATAAATAATTGGATAATTTTGGACAGTTTCCAACTAATCCACGACTGCTCTAGGAACAAAGCTAAAATCTTACCATAGACTGGAAAAACTCTTGATTTTTTAACTTCTCTTCAAACTCTTTTAACTCCTTGTAAATTGTGGACGGAAGTTTTGCCAAATATTCATTTTCTGTGGGATCTTCTAACACTGCAGTTCTTTGAATCCCAGACATTAAAAATAATTTTACATCATTGGATAAGGTATCTACTTTCCTTGAAAGTTGCTCGAGCAGATCTGAAAGAGTATTTTAAATAATTTTGGGGCAGTTGACTGAATTTTGACTACAAAAATTAAGTTTATTACGCAAGAGGGGTATAAAATATAAAAATAGTATAAACATATAAAACATTGTTTTATATATATATTCAATTCAAGGAGTGCTCAGTAATAAATATTTATCATTAAAGATAGATAGATAGAACGATAGAAATAAAAAGAGATAGAAGACATCGCAGACAATTTGGTTATACTTACTTACTGCCATTCTAGAGGTTTGGTAGAGTTCTTGAAATGTAATTATTGGCTCTGTATCTTCTTGGAGTTCAGTATTTGCAGACTTTGATCCTGATCTAGTATTTTCAAAATGTATCGTCTTTTGAAGTTTGGGAGTAATGGAGGTAAGTCCATTACTCCAATGGAGGTAAGTATTTTACATCTTGTGTCAGATTCAAAATCTAGTGAAACATTCTCACGTTTGTATCTTCTATTTAGGGCTTCACTTAATAAAATTGTCACAGCCAAGTGTAACAACAAAAAATGTTTTTACATAATGTTAGGTAAAAGATCTTTCAGTATAACAGGCCCAACATAAAGTACAATTGCCTTAACTCGGTTGCTTTCCACCTTTATAACTCTTTCAAAGATTTTGGTTTCCTATTAAAATCTGATGGCCAAACAGATACGATATGTTTGATATAACTGTCAAATTCTTGAATATTTAATTTTCGTGATTTTACGAACAATGTGGCTATCTCTCCAAATAGAGAGAAGGTTTCTCATTACTCCCAGGCATACAGAATGCATATAATCTGTAGAGCAATTGGAAATCATTCCTATACCTAGTAAATTTAAAGGCGTGCTACCACGATGGTGATTAATATCTGTCATTTAAAAAAATTTCATTTGGAGCATTTATCTTCATGAAAAGCATCGTTCTATTGCAATAAATCCCCCTGTCAAACCATTTATTACAACCGTGGTAACCATTGTGATTTTTTACATTTTTAACAAATGCTCTTGCTGGTGTGTCACAATAAAATACTCCAATTTTAATATACATTTTTTTACCGCATACATCTAATCCTTCATTTTTCAATAAGTTCGGTGAATATTTAAATTGGCGAGGCCGTTTAACCTATTTTAACTCATTGCATTTCTCAAATAGGATTTGAGCTGTCGTAGTGTTGAAAATGTCCTCTCTGCTGTAGCTGTGGATACTGGTATTGTTGAAAATATCTTTAATAATATATTATATATTTGGATAAAAATTCGCGTTTCATAAATTTATGCCATCGATTGCGCTCTTTGAAATGGGAGGAGGATCTGCTAGAAGATTTAATAAATTTCTGGTATCGCAAACGTAACTCAGCCTCCAATATGTTTTTACTCAACTCCTGCTCATCTTGGCGATAAAAGCAGACTAGTGTATGGAAGCTGTCTATTTGCTTTTGTGTATTAGATTTTCCACAAGGGAGAAGCACCATAAAATTACTGAGTATCGTCTTGTGTTTTGAAAGTCGGTCATTTAGGTTCAATAGAAAAGAATCTATCCATGGCAAAAATATTGATATGTGGTAATATTTAATGCAGCTTTCAGTGGCAATGTTATCCCGGTGTATTTGTATCGCTGCTAGTCTTGATATTTTGATATCAATATTAAATATATCGGCTTTCTGTTTAGCCTCGTCAAAAATGTTTCTAAATTCTTCGTCGGCATTTCCACGCAGTATCTGTACGGATGAGATGACATCTTCAACATTACTTATTGCAAATTCGAGATCAAGATGTTTAGTTTGTAGAATTTTGCTGAGGGGAAAACTGAACCCTAAAAGTTTTTCTAAACATAAACGAGAAATAATAAAATTTGATTGGCTCAGCGCACCGATCTGAATACATGCCCCTGAGCTGGAATCTTTGTCCTTCCATGAGGATATTTCATGTAATGAAATAAAAACTGGTGCGGTCACAGGGCGGTATGCGATAGTACGTTGCAAAGAGAGGCGGGCGCGTTTGCCAGATCGCGCAGATTTGCACTCTTCCATTTAGTTACATGTACGGCGGCGGTTGACCGCACCGCCATTGCATCCACCACCACGCCCGCTACCGCTTTGGTTTGCGCACCGCAATATCTACGTACAATACTATTTTGCTCGCTCATGCGCATTACTAATATTGTCAACAGTAACGGGGTCTAATTTCTTGACGGAGAGGTTAATTTTTTCCAAACTTTAGATAGGTATGTTCTGTTTTTAACTGAGATTACTGAATATGTTAATCAGCCGGCCGGCATGGAAATTGAAATATTTAATTAAATTTAAATGTTACACAGCTCTAAATTTAATATATCCAACATGTAATATAATATACATAAATTGGTATGATATATACTTACATTTTACCGGTAGATAATTCAAGACACTCAAAGACCTATTTATTCACAGTATTCACACAAACACTGACAACGAATATAATGTTGTTAACGTATATGTATAGACGTAAATTACACTATAAACTCCAAATAAACAAAAATGTTATATGGAACAAACAAGCCCACGATATTTTACATTTTATTTTCGTTTTAGTGAAATTTCATTGCTGAATAAGCTTTGATTTCGAAAACGTATTTTTGCCGTTTTCTTCAAAAAAGCTTCAAAATTTTGGAAAGGTTGTAATTACATATTTGTGTTGAATTTTTTTAATGAAGGTTTCGATGATCAAACAGAAAATAATAGGTTCCATTTGAAAAACTTATGACATTTTAACGAATGTAGTAAATTAAATCAATTAATAGTGTGGTATTAACTTCTTGGGGCATGGGTGAAGTAAAGTCATCGGATTTGGGGAGGAGCTAAAGCCCTAATATGAAAAAATGTATACAGGGTGATTCAGAACTTATCCAAAAAAAAAATTCTGGATGTACAGAGGAAATTGATTTAAAAATACACTTCTGCACGGCACTGGAAACTGGTCCAATGTAAAACCTAACCTAGCACAATGCGACCGTCATGGCGGTGTGATAAAAACGGACAAAAACTTTCGCAAGGAAAGAAATATGTAAATAGCATTTTATCGCACCTATTTTATATCGGCAAATTCAACTGCTTTAGCCTTTATTAATTAATAAAATTAATTTGTGTTTTTAAATAATAAAATCATTTGACATACCCGATGTTACAACAATTCTTCAAAATTTTATCCACCAATGTGTAAACACATTTGGGTCCGTCTTACTCAGTTTCTACGAACTAACACAAATGTTGTCTTGCTTCACCATAACACAAATGCTTCACCATAAATTAAAACGATATCCATCAACTCCGAGTACACGCAAACCATTTTTGACACTAACTACCC